TCTCCCTCCCTCCCTCCCTGTGTGTGTGTGTGTGTGTGTGTGTGTGTGTTAGAGAAAGAGACAGACAGACAGACAGACAGACAGATGGATGTTCTGGTGAGAGAAAATTTCCCTGAAGATGGACTCCTGCACAAGTCCAAAACCTTGAAAGACTAAACCTCTAGTCCTGGTGAAAAAGGAGTCGAGTCAGAATGGAATTCAGCAGGTTTGGACTAACCTACGTTTCTGTTGCTTTGGCTTGCTTAGCAACAGAAATTTGGGGTTCAGTTGTGGTCTTAAACTGAGGATTACCTTCATCTTATGGGATGTATGCATTTACTCTAAATCTATATATGCAGCATTTTCTAAATCCAGGAGACTTGGGTAGCATAACTGTGCCCGTCTGTGTCACATAGGCCATCCCACTTTTCTCTGCTAACCGTGGGTCCTAACGAAAATGGTTGGAAGATAATCTCACCAATGCAGCCACGTTCTATGGAGCATACCTACCTTTGCCCATGCCTTTCTCTTCCAAGTAAAAAACCACCCTGCCAAAGGCATCCTTCAGCTTCTCTATTTCAGACACATCTGGGGCAGAGAGAGAGAGAGAGAGAGAGAGAGAGAGAGAGAGAGAGAAATACAGGTGTCAAGTGTTTATCTGTTTCTGAGCAGAAGGACAAGAGCCTTGAGGGCAGAGATGTAGTTACAGCTCTTAGGTCAGCACGGAGATTGCTCACACTAAAGACTTCAAGCCAAGACCTAAAAAAGATAGGAGCCAAGCATAACTTTATAATTCAGTGGGTTTTTTTTCTCCAATTTTTGTTTTGTTTTGTTTCAACTTCTATCCTCAGAACGACGCTATAGGACACTGCGCACCAGAACAACTAGACACAAGGACAGTTTTTCCCCAAATGCCATCATTCAGCTAAACAAATAATTCCCTCAACACTGTCAAATTACTTAGTAAGATTACTTAGTAAGATCAAATTACTTACTATTCTTCTTCTCATCCTTCCTATTACCTATCTCTTCTATGACTATAAGCGTGTTGTTTGTATCTTTACAATTTATATTGTTTTGTTTTCCTAGTTTGATTTAATTACTTATTAGTAACCCATGACTATCAAATGTTGTATCTTATGATTCCTGAGGAATGTATTTTATTTTTTTCTTATGTACACTGAGAACATAGGCACCAAAGACAAATTCCTTGTGTGTCCAATCACACTTGGCCAATAAATAATTCTATTCTATTTCTATTTCTATTATTTCTATTTCTATTCTTCAACCTTGGTGACTTTAAGATGGGTGGACTTCAACTCCCAGAATTCCCCAGCAAAGCAAAGCTGGCGTAGTTTAACAGAATCTGGAAAGCCTCTCCAAAATTTTCACTGTTCCCTTTCAAGGACAGCAAAACTGAGGGCTGCTTGGTGACTCATTCTTGTGCTTTCAATTTTCCTACTGCTGAACAGCCATTTCGCCTCTTCTGCTCCCAGTTAAATTCTTCTTTCATCTCCCTAATAACAAGTAATCCTGCACTTACAACAAAAATGAGTCTCAAACTTCCGTTGCCAAGCAAGTCATTAAGTGAATCCGCCCCTTTTTATGACCTTTCTTGCCCCAGTTGTTCAGTGAATCACTGCAGTTGTATGGAATGGAACGGAACAGAACAGAATAGAATATAGAAGAGAATAGAATTCTTTATTGGCCAAGTGTGATTGGACACACAAGGAATTTGTCTTTGGTGCAAATGCTCTCAGTGTACATAAAAGAAAAGATACATTCGTCAAGAGTCAAGAATCATCAGGTACAACACTTAATGATAGTCACAGAGTACAATAAGCAATCAAATCACACACTAGAAGGCAATCGATATAAATTGTAAAGATGCAAGCGACAAAGTTACAGTCACAAGTGGGAGGGGAGGGGTGATAAGGAGTGATTAGAAGATTAATAGTGCAGACTTTGTAAATAGTTGGACAGTGTTGAGGGAATTATTTGTTTAGCAGAGTGATGGCACTCAGGAAAAAACTGTCCTTGTGTCTTGTTGTTCTGGTGTGCAATGCTCTATAGCGTCGTTTTGAGGGTAGGAGTTGAAACAGTTTATGTCCGGGATGTGAGGGGTCTGTAGATATTTTCACAGCCCTCTTTTTGACTTGTGTGGTATGCAGGTCCTCCATGGAAGGGAGGTTGGTAGTAATTGTTTTTTCTGCAGTCGTAATTACTCTCTAGAGTCTGTGTCTGTCTTGTTGGGCTGCAGAACCAAACCAGACAGCTATAGAGGTGTAGATTAAGTTAGTAACACGATTGTTCAATGAATCCCCCATTGCTTGTCAGAAGGTCGCAAAAAAGGGGAATAACGGGGCCCTGGAAAGTGTGACCATCATAAATATGAATCGGTTGCCCAGCGTCTGAATTTTGAATCACGTGACCTTGGGGATGCTTCAATGGTTGTCAGGGTGAAAACTGGACATAAGTTTTTTTTTTCCAGTGATGTTGTAACTTTGAATGGTCACTAAATGAACTGTTGTAAGTCGAGGACTACCTGTTGGCCTGGTTTGCTCGGCCTCACCTTTCAGGTTCACGCCATCTTTCTGGCGAAGGACCTTCTGGGAAACAAGCTCACTCCTTTCAAAATGTAGAAACCCGGCAAATGTCGCCCTGAGCTGCTCCTTAGGCCGGGGCGGGGGAGGGGGGAGCGCTTCAAAAATTTTAGCAAGGGGTTCTTGGCCCGGTTGCTGGGTGGGCGTGGCCATGGTGGGCGTGGCCTAGTTGGCCTCCACCACCACGGCAGGGGGGTTACCCTCCCCAGGCTCCTGAGGCTTTCCTTGAGCCTCTGGGAGGGTGAACACAGCCTCCATGGGCTCCGGAGGCTCCCTGGAAACTGGAAACAGGCCCATTTCCGGCCTTCCTGAATTTCCGGGAGGCCCTTTTTTCGCCCTCCCTGAGGCTCCATGCGCACCCTGTACTTACCTGCATCCAAAATGGGACTCCTGGGAGGGGAGGGGCCAGCCAGAAGTGGGATGTGGGGGGTTCTCCAAACTGCACAGAATCTTAGCTAGGGACTCTCCCGAACGCCTGTGAACCTCCATCAGCCCCACCGCTGCCTTAGGCCCACAGAGAGCCTCTGGAACTCTCCCCCACTGGACATGAACATCTAAGGCCCGCCAGTGCCCAACCTTCCCTCTTCCCTGGACCTCACTCACCCACCTGAGTCTTGCTCAAGGGGTGGAAGGCAGTATCTAAAGTCCCCAGACAAGTTTGGTGCTTCTCACTCTGATAGCCCCAAAAATATTGGCATATGCGGAGGCGCTGGGCCGCGGTGGAGAAGCAGTTAAAGCAAGCAGTTGCCCCGGAGGAAAAAACCAACCAGAGGATCAGGACATCTCCACCAGACATGACTGAAGTTTCCAGAAAGATGAGAATTCTTCCCTGAGGTCATAAGTCAGGCTCCAAGGGGCCATTTATGACTTCATAGCTCATGGTAGGACAAGCCATGGGCGGTTGAGAAAGGAATGCCTCGCTGGGAGAAGACAGTTCAAGTAGTCCTCAACTTGCAGCCACAATTGAGCCCAACATTTCTGTTGTTAAGCAAGACATTTGTTGAGTGAGTTTCTAATTGTGTCATTGTTGGCCACTGGAAGGTTGCACAATTGAGCGGAAAAACAGGAATGGAAGCATTTGAAACCGGAAGTAGTTCTGGGCTTAGAAATTCTTTTATTTTTCCCCCGTCAGGTCTCATATTATTTGACAAAGGGGAATTTGTTTTCAAATACCCTTGGATAAATTCCTCTGGGGAAAAAAAACATGTGAGTTACTGGAATTGGTTTAGATTAATTAATTGCATTCATTTGATTAATGTATTAATTACACTGATTATACCCAGATTAATGAAACAGAACATCTGGCTCGTCCAATTACATTTTGCCCAAAATAATGAATAAAGTACTTCTTTTTTTCCCCAAAGCTTCATGTTCACACATTTTTGCCTAATCCAGCCTATTATGCGCACCTAGTCAAGGCATAAAAATGTCCCGTCTCTCTATGGTGGCTTGCAGCTTGTGTGGCTTCCTCTGTTTTTTGGGTGTGTTTTTTTAATTCAGCCGTAAGGGAAAATAATAGAAGGGAATGCTGTGTTTTAATCGCAGTGCAGTCATTAGTGCAAGCAGGGCGACCTGCCTTTTTATTTGGGGGTGGTGGTGTGTGTGAAATATAAAAACTCTTTCTTTCCCCTGGAAAAATAAGGCAAAATTGTCCTTCCACGCCACTTCTCTGCCCACAGGTCTGATCAGAGGATTTTTCAAAATGCCTTCTGGCTGAAATCAGTTTGTTGTCTTTGCTTTGGGGGATTGCCAAATTTACACCTCTTCCCTGCTAGGAGTACAACAATAATGGCTGTATAGAGCTGTCTTCCTCTCCGTCTCCCACTCCTCCTCCCTATGTCTCTCACTCTCTCTCTTCCTCTGTCTGTCTTTCTCCCTCTCTCCCTCCTTCTGTCTCTCTCTGCCTCTGTCTCCCTCCCTCTCTCTTTCTGTCTCTCTCTTCCTCCCTCTCTTTCTCCCCCTCCCTCTATTTCTCTCTCTTCCTCTCTGTCTCTCTTCCTCTCCCCCTCCCTCTCTTCCTCTGTCTCTCTCCCTCCCTCTCCCTGTCTCTCTCTCTTCCTCTCTTTGCCTCTGTCTGTCTGTCTGTCTGTCTGTCTCACCCCCCACACAGGTAAATGGGTAAATGCCTAGGTGCTCTCTGCTGAAACAAAAGAGGCTGAGAGGGAGGGAATTCTCCAGGCTGTCACAAGATGAGCAGCGGCTGCCCTGGGTTCCTGCAATTCTGGATTTTCCTGGCATGGTGACAGTCAAGCATTGTTACGTGTGCGGAAAGCTAGGATGGGAAAGATGCAGGATCTCGAAAGCCAGACTCTGGTCTCCATGGAAACCAGACAGTTCTGCTCGAAGCTGGGAAGGAAAAAAAATATATATACCTATCTTTTAGAGACTGAGGGACGGTGGAGGGTGGAGGGGGCCGGTTGGTGGTGGGGAAGGACCGAGACGGCAAGATCTTAACCATGACAACTCGATTGATCAGGAAGGGATGGGGAAAGAAAGAAAGAAGGGGAAAAAAAAAAGGCTGCATCGTCAACCTAGCCCCCGCATCTACCTGGAGCCTTTGTCCTTGACAATTCCCAACTCAGTCTGGTTTTCAGTACCGCTTCCCCTGCAGTCTATTTGGCTTTCTCTATACCTGCCGTTTGCGAGGAGGGGAAAGCCCAGGTGTGTGTTTTCCCGCAGCAGGCGAGAGCACTTCATTAACCTTGGCTCGGCTCGGGTTAACACACGGATGGGAAAGTACCAAAACATCCGAGGGGGTGGGCGGGGTTAAAATTTGGGAAGTTGCACAATTTTGTCTATTGTTGCTCAGAAATTGCATCAAGCGATTGAGCCGGATATGATCTTTTTTTAAAAAAAAAAGGAGAAGAGAGGATTAATTTCCTAATTTGTAGATGGAGAAACGCTTCGGGTTTTAAATCTTTGGGGTTAGAGCGGGTGAACCACTCTTCGGGGGGGGGGGAATACTCCCGTTGCACGCATCCCTTTAGGAAGATTGCAAATAGTTCTCCAAAATTTGGGCGGCAGGAATTTTCCTCTGATGCATTGTTAGGACTACAGTTCCCAGCGTTCTCAGCTCTCTGGGAAGAAAGGGGTCCTTTCGGTGGGAAGGAAAGGATTTATTTCTGTATAAAGCTCAGGTTAATCTTCTCTGGGGCATTTTCGGTCAGGCTCTGCATTTTTATTTTTTCATTGCAACCTGGCAACAATGAGACCAGGCTGTTGGCCCGCAGAAAAGTTCGATCTGTAAGCCACCCAGAAAAATGCTCGGATGAGATGGGTGGTTGTAGAAATGCAATGAACAAATAAAAAGCAAATCAAAGGATCTGATTTGGATGAGGTCAGATCCAAAAACGAGCGGGGACAATTGCCGGTGTAAATCTCAAATTGACAATTTATACCGGCAACATAAAGGTATCAAGGGCTCAGTAACAAGCAATTGCTTGTCTTTTCACAATTGGGATTTGTGGAGCCCGGGCAAGCTGGATTTAGCACAAGAAACGGATTTCTCTGGATTCAGATAAGTGGAAACCCTGCAAAAGGATGTGTTCTAAATATGCTCAGAGGCCTTTTGCTGTGATCTTCCTTTTGAAAGATTTCTTCAGCCTCCTCACATAGGAGATATTGAATCACGGACTGAAGTTATCATGAAGTGTCACTTGATGACTTGATGCTATTAAATTATGAAATATAAAAACCCTTAATCGTTAACAAGCCAAGGTGCCTCCTCCATTTAATAGCTGCAGAGAATTCAATTTACTTTCTTCAGAGTAAAGTAAAGCATTTTATTCTGGTAAGTTTTCCCCAAAGGAAAAATGTAGGAGAATAACACTCTTCTGGAGTGAACGAAGTGGCATTTTTTCAGCCAGCAGTTGTCTTATGGTGTAATTGGAAAAGTTCTCTTTGCACTCCATGCACGAGTGTTGGTCATTTGTGGCAGAGGCACATGAAACAGGGCAACCTGTCTATGATGCACATGAGTTCTTTCTGCTTGCACGTTTCCTTTTTAAGGCCTATCTTTCCCCTCATTTTATATTTATATTTTGAATGGTGTGGGCTAAAACCCTTGTAGGTGCAAGTCACAGTCTTTTCTAGAAGTTTGTTTTAATGGGGAAGTAAGCTATCTTGTGATCACTTGCATACAAAAGGTGATTTAGAAGTGGGGCAGACTCATATGCGCAAACTAAATACCCATTTCAAGACAAGCTTTAATCCCAGGGATTCCTCCCGTCACTCTTGCTAAATCCTTTTGGCTGCTGAACACCTTTGAGTGTTGCCCTCTGCTGGTTTTGGCTTGTAAAAGTTAATTTTGCAAAGTCCTTTCCTTTCCCCCGCTGTTGCAGCCCAAAGATATATTGTATTATGGCTGGTTACTCTAGGAAGACTCTGGGCAGCTGTCCTTCAAATTATGCTCTAGTCTAGACACAGTCAATTTTTCATATTTTGAGAATCACTAATTACTCTATCAAGGAACCTGGGTCCCAAGGGGAAAAAACAGACATTTACAGGTATTGTTATAAATTTAAAGTCAATTCTAAAGTCATGTAACTATGCTGCCCTAATGCTATTATCTTTATATTATTGGTAATTATAAATTAAGAGAACAGATTCTCATATTTCTCACACCTCATCTTTCTTACTAGCTTCTCCTATGGGTATTTTATCAATTGTTTTGTATCTTTTATGATTTATGATTGTATCTTATGGTTTATGATGTATGATTTATCACTTTGTTGTTTGTATATACAGAGAGGTTATGCACCATAAACAAATTCCTCGTGTGAGTCCAATCACACTTGGCCAATAAAGAACTATCATATTCTTATTCCAATTCTCTTCTCTTCTAATTGGCACCTAAGGCAGCCAACTTTCCCTAAGCCCAAACCAAAACAGATACACTAAGCTCAAATCTTGTTGAGGCTGTTCCAGTTCTGATTCCAGGAAAATGCGTGTTTGAGATGCTTAATCCTCTGCCAAAATTGCTCTACTCTGGAGAATATACCTCTTATCCTCTGTAGGCCCTTTCTGGATGTAGAGATAAGAATTATGTGCCTGTTGATCTATGCATCACTAGCTGAAAAAAATTACGCTGCTTAAACATCTTCCTGGATCATTATTTCAACCATCCAGTAGATCAGGTGTCCAAACTTGGCAACTTTAAGACTTGTTGACTTCAATTCCCAGAATTATCCAGCCAGCATAGTTTAGTCTCTTGTAATCCCTTCCTCTGCAATCTCTCTCCACTTTAGGAGATTAAGAAAAATAAAAAGCAGGCATGGCTGGCTGGGGAATTCTGGGAGTTGAAGTCCACAAGTCTTAAAGTTGCCAAGTTTCGGGACCCCTGCAGTAGATGCATGGGTTAGCCTGATGGGTGTTCTGGATTAACTTTCCCGGGGAAGAGTTGCACTGAGGAAGGTGGTCTCAAGATTCACCAATGGTCAACGTCAACCCATCCCACAAATAATTCGTTTGTGGTCCCTGAGCAACAGGCATGTCTCTAGTGTGCCTATCCCTTTTAGAGGTTGGAAAAATGACTGGCATTGTTAACAGCAAACTGGCTTCTCCTGGTGAGGTTCTTCACATCTTCTTCAAACCTGGACCAAACCTGAGGGAGCTATTTCAATGTTTCTCAGCCTTGGCTACTTTAAGAGATGTGGGGCATAGCTGAATTCTGGGAGTTGAAGTCCACACCTCTTAAAACGGCCAAGGTTGAAAAAGCTTGTTAGAAAATACTACTTATTTATGGGATGGGTTTTTATACTGCTGCACCTTGCACAATCCCCCAAAGTGGTTTCCAAATCCAATGAAACCACAATCCCAGGAAGCACCTGAGGGCAGAATAAGAAATAATGGGTGGGAGCATGTTAAAAAGAGATCCAACCTAGAAATAAGGAGAAAATTTCTGACCACAAGAATTAATCAATGGGAATGGCTTAGACTCCCCCGCCCCTCCAGAGTTGCAGATGTTCCATCACTTGGAGGCTTTCAAAAATACTGGACAATCCTTTTGACCGGGATGGTATAATGTCTCCTGCCTTGAGCAGGAGGGGTTGGACTAGGAGATCTCTTGGGTCCCTTCCAGCTCTATGATTCTATGTCCTAATTATGTTTTTTTAAAAATTCTTGGCAAAGCCCATCTTTACTGTCTTGCGAAAATTCTCACACCTGGAGGCAACAACGATGGCTGTTTTAAGACTGTGGAAGAAGAAATGATGTGTGAGATAAAATGCACCTCTTTTTGTTTCATATTGCAAACGTACCATTACCTGCACAAAGGCTGTGGAATGTGGTGGCTTATTGCAAAAAAAAAAAAAAAAAACCCTGCAAGCAAACCTTGACAGTATATATTTTTAATGGAGAAGAAAAATGCCCTTTAAAATCTTTCAACAACCCCCTGCACTTCTGGGGGGGAACATTGGAACTGGAGGCCTGCTAAGAAGCAGGGATCAGGCATTTGATGGTGCCTCCCCTCAAAGAGCCAGGAAGGCACAGAGGCATCGGTCAACCCTGCTCCCTTAAAGAGAAGAAGAAGTGGCTTCCTTCACCCAGCTCAACTGAAAGCTGAGGCCCCCAAACTTGGCAACTTTGAGACTTGTGGACTTCAACTCCCAGAATTCTCCAGCCAGCATAGAGAATTCTGGGAGTTGAAGTCCACAAGTCTTAAAAAAGTTGCCAAGTTTGGGGACCTCTGGCTTAAAGAGTGACTTTCACTGCTGGGGCTTTGTCACAAACAGCCTTGGACAAGCGTAGCTCTTTCTTGTCATAAGTCCCCTCTGGATGTCCCTCAAATTCAGCTATTTTACATGTAGATCCTACTCAGCTCAGGGTGGCAGTGGCCCACAATCTTGAAAGTTAGGCTGGGTTTTGTGACTAGCTCTAAAGTCTCTAAAGGGAATCAATCCTGGGGCTGGAGGGGGGAATGAAATCTGGGTCAGTCAACACTTTAACCGCCATCCCAAACTGGCTTTCCAAAGTAATTATTTAGTTTCCTGGTATGATTTGATGGCTTATTTAGTATCCTATGATTATCACTAAGTGTTGTATCTTATGACTTTTGATGAATGTATTTTTTTATGTACACTGAGAGCATAGGCACCTAAGACAAATTCCTTGTGTGTCTAATCACACTTGGCCAATAAAGAATTCTATTCAATTCAATTCAATTCAATTCAATTCAATTCTATTCAATTCTATTCTATTCTACTCTATTCTATATTCTGTTCTATTCTATTCCATTCTATATTCTGTTCTATTCCATTCCATTCCATTCCATTTTCTATTCTATTCTATTCCATTCCATTCCATATTCTATTCTATTCCTTTCTAATTTCTATTCTAATTTCTATTCTATGCTATATTTTATTCCATTCTATTTTCTATTCTAATTTCTATTCTATTCTATTCTATGCTATATTCTATTCTATTCTATTCCATTCCATTCCATATTCTATTCTATTCCTATTCTATTCCATTTTCTATTCTATTCTAATTTCTATTCTATGCTATATTCTATTCCATTCCATTTTCTATTCTAATTTCTACTGTATTCTGTTCTAATTTCTATTCTATGCTATGCTATATTCTATTCTGTTCTAATTTCTATTTCTATTCTACATTCTATTCTGCCTGTCTACCTACTGATTATGCGCTGTCAAGTTGTTGCCAACTCTTAGCAACATACAGATCAGAGTTTCTCAAGCTTGGAGACTTGAAGATGGGGTGGGGTGGACTT